AGGAACTTTTTCCTAATGTCCAACCTAGACCTCCCTTGCTGCAGTTTAAGCCCATTGCTTCTTGTTCTATCTTCAGAGGCTAAGGTGAACAAGTTTTCTCTCTCCTCCTTATGACACCCTTTTAGATACCTGAAAACTGCTATCATGTCCCCTCTCAGTCTTCTCTTTTCCAAACTAAACAAACCCAATTCTTTCAGCCTTCCTTCATAGGTCATGTTCTCCAGACCTTTAATCATTCTTGTTGCTCTTCTCTGGACCCTTTCCAATTTCTCCACATCTTTCTTGAAATGCAGTGCCCAGAACTGGACACAATACTCCAGCTGAGGCCTAACCAGAGCAGAGTAGAGCGGAAGAATGACTTCACGTGTCTTGCTAACAACACACCTGTTAATACATCCCAGAATCATGTTTGCTTTTTTTGCAACAGCATCACACTGTTGACTCATATTTAGTTTGTGGTCCACTATAACCCCTAGATCCCTTTCTGCCGTACTCCTTCCTAGACAGTCTCTTCCCATTCTGTATGTGTGAAACTGATTTTTTCTTCCTAAGTGGAGCACTTTGCATTTATCTTTGTTAAACTTCATCCTGTTTAACTCAGACCATTTCTCCAATTTGTCCAGAATTTTGAGGGTCTCAAAAAGCAACTTTGAGGGAAATGCTGGCTGGCTGGCTGAAAAACAAGAGAAGAGGAAGGAGTGAGCTTCCCCATCATTGCTGCCACTACCACCATTTTCTAGAATACCAGATCTTTATCCTAAGCCTGAGAGATGTTCTGACCGGCCTGGGCCAGAGAGAGGGACACAAGACACCTCCACACCTACCTGCTCCAGCTAAATCCTACCACCACTTGGGCAGGAGGGGTGATGTCTGTCTCTCATATGTGCATGCACGCGTTGCTTTGTTTCTTCTCTTTTGTACCCTTTCCTCTTTTCTTCTGTCTAAAACACCTGTCTTAGCTGGTCAAGGCTGCATATTTTGCACCACTGCTGTAAGTCTGTGACCAGAAAGGCAGCACCTAAATAGCCTATGCTGGTATAAGTTTGCCAGGTATCAAAGTGGCTAATAAGACCCTGTTTTGTGCCTGCATTTTTCCAGCAGTGAGGTTGCATGTGAAAGTCAGAGACCGAACCTACATTTTCTATCTTTGCTCATTCCTCTCTTTTCGTGTGTGTGTGTGTGTGTGTGTGTCTTGTTTTGCCTTTTAGGAAACACGATTAGAGTTTAGCAGCAGCAGCTCCAGCCCATCTCAACTAACCTCTATTCCCCAAAAAGGACAGTTATGGCCATCTTAATACCAGGAGGGAGACTGTCCAAAAAAAAAAAAAAAAAAAATTGGGGTGAAAGAGATCTTTCTAAAAGCTCTCTCCTGCTAAATGGAAAGGGAAAAAAGGTTGTTAAAATGACCCCTTATTAATACTCTACATTTTAAATGCTTTGACTATCTTTGCTGTACTTTCATTAAAGGGTAATAGATTTTTAATAGTGCCATGGTTCTAAGCAGGCTAAGGGATACCAAACCCTGAATCTTGTTTAGTGTTGAACAGTTTCAGGGTTATACTAACACATTTAACTCTTTGGGCCCATATAGTCCTAAATTAATATAATGGGCTTATAACTTTTGAATGCTGTACTTAGACTTAGTAGGAGGGCACTCCAAGCCATCTTTGATGGCAGAGGACAGTAAATGTACTGATCCACTGTTTTCGGAAATGACCCAAACTTCATTAGAGTTAAATTTTATGAAGTGTTCACTAACCAGCAGCCTCCTGGGCTGGACTGTCAAAACAGAACTTATACCTCAAGTTTGAGGTCACTCCCTCCATGACTTGTTTTACACCCAAATCATGATGAGTAGGTTACAGCAAGGCATATGCTCGACTGCCTCCTTGAACTGGGTCTGGAATTCTAAACGGTTAGAATACCTGATTTACCAAAACTTGATTGCTAGCTTATGTTGACAGACACTGAGCTATTATAAATACTCTGTATAACCACTTGGGACAAATTCATTGAGGCCAGGGTCTTGCCCAACTGCAAAAGAGCTCTTCTGCACATGGACATGTAGAAGCCTATGAAATACTTGTCCTAGCTGCTCACCCATCTTGCATTTGTTTAGGTGTGTTGATAGGTACTGGTAGTCTACACATCACAGTGATAGGAAATATTGTTAAGACACTGGCTGTGAATGTCTTAGTAAGTTTTGGACTGTAAATAAACATTTTAGAAGCTAAATTCTGCTGCCAGCAGGCATGGGTTTTTTTCAGATACACAGTTGTGTAAATGTTAGACTTTGATGACAAGCTAATAGA